CCTACAATGGTTTGAAACTCAACATTATCTAATCTAGACAAACTATTTTAACCTACGCAACATTAGGATCCCAATATTTATTGATGATTCTCAATAAATTTGAACAATTTGCCTACAATGATTTGAAACAAAACCTTAAGTATAGAAACTCCTACTAAAACAGCACAATTACACAATACCAGAGTTATAGTGATATCAGCTTGTTATTTGTTATAATCCTTGAGTGGCATTTAGCGATTGAACACATTAAAAACACAACACAGTTTATATAGAAATACAATCACTGGTTTATAGGCTTGATAATGATAAGAGAATACTCGTTGAAACGTCAAGCTATGCCTATAAGTTTATATGGAAATACAATCACTGGTTTATAGGCTTGATAATGATAAGAGAATACTCGTCGAAACGTCATGCTATGCCTATAAACCAGTGATTGTATTTCCATATAAACTGTGTTGTGTTTTGTTTTTTTTTTGTTATTTGTTGTTCATGATGAATTTTGAGTTTGCACTGGTGGCTGTAGTGGCATTTGATGATACTAAATAATTAAAAGAACTTACCCAAGACACAGCTAAAAGAGTCAAAGCAACAGCTCCAGGCACTACTATAACTAACAGACTCGTACGATCATACAAAACACCAATCACCAGAAACAAGGGAGCGGCCATTTGCAATAATACTGTCATTGGTTTGTACACCTTGGCCATAGCAACCACAGTCACCCATAATGAACAAACAGAGCCAAGGAAATCACAGAAACTAAGTACGTTATATTTCATAATACATAAAGTGTAGATGTCTTCACGATCACCATCACAGGCATGATAAAACTGTAAACATAACAAAAACATAATATTCATTTCCAAGAAAAAACATGTGGAAAGATTTAGAAAAAGAGCTGACAGTTCTCGCCATAATAGTGAAATGAAATGAAATGGGGTTTAACATCCTAACATCCTCCGATGGGGTTAAAGAAGGGATCTTTTACGTTGCCCCTTCCCAGGTGCTCAGTCCTGCACCACTGACACAGGGAACCACACTGGAAAATCTCCGCCAACACAGGCATCAAACAATCACAGGTCCTCAATGTTAGCGAGAGAAATGGGGTTTAACATCCACTCGACGCAAACTAGATCATTTCGGGACTAACGCATGGTATAATTTTTTTATTTCAATAATTCCCTTGCGTGTAGGGGTCTTTAGCAGTGGGAGGAAACCGGAGGACCCGGAGAAATCCAGGTTAGCGAGTCAACATCTTACTCACTGAGCCTCTGTGGCTCGCCCCTATAATAGTTTAATAATTAAAAAAACTAAACCCTTTTTTTCCTTTCCAAGCCCTCGATACCACACCACTGATATGGGAGAAACCTTGCTGGAAAATTCTGAGGAACCTTTCTCAACCAAGGTTTGATTAGTGAAAAACCAACTTACGGTAGAAAAAAACATGTTGTATGTATAAACTAGAGCCTCTACATAATATCTCCTTTTTAACGCTAATAATATTCCTGGTATAAAGAACAGGTTGCTAAGCGTGAGCAAAAGCACTTCTGTGAGTTGACTGCCAACAGAATATGCCTCCTTGTCATCTGTACATCCGTAACCACGCCAACCTGAAATTTAATCCAAACAAAATAAATAGAACATTTATAAATTGGATTTTAAATTGAAGAATTCATAGTGTTGGGATGGTGGGATGTTTCGGTGATCGATTGGTGGGGATTTCCTGATTTAACATCAACTTGAAACAAACCAAGTCATTTTGGGACTAACATACAGTTTAGTTTAATTTATTTCTTTCAATAATCCATTGTCCATAGGGGTCTTTAGTAGTGGGAGGAAAGCAGAGGAAGCGGAGTAATTCCAAGAGGTTGAACAGGCGACCCCAGTCCTTGTCACGTACAAGCAGGGAATCAAAACCACACCACTTGACTCAATAACAGACTCAATATGCATGCTTTAAACCATTCAGTCACACACCACACCTCTACCCCACACAAGGGTTCGAAGAATAGAGTCGCCTGTCTCACATCGTAGGTTTCTTTTAAAGTCCACTAACTTGTGTTTTTGTATTATGGACTTTCAGTTCACTACATTCTATTCCTTTCTTGTTATGAATCATAATCAAATGTGTTTAAGTGTTCTAATATTTTTGGATTCGGATGAATCATGATCAGAAAATGTCATATATATACTTAAACCGGGTTTGATCCCAGTACAATCTGATTAAAATACAGATCTATATTTCATTTCGTTTTTTTATACTTTCGATGGCCTACACTACATGAAGATCTGACAAGTTATAGCGATAGGTTACGTCAGGGGTCAAAAGACCGACTTATGACCCTATGATGTCAGACATTTGATTAACCAATCAGCATTGATGTTACTAGTGGATTACCCACAGTTCCGTGCAAAGCTCGCCGTAACAGACCGTTTCATTGGCTTATCCCTGACACCATTCAGAACACAAGTTAAATAACAACTCTTCCAGATCCAAGTGCAGTAAAGACAAGTAAAACGAAATTTTGAACTATAAAAACGAAACGAAATAGGATCTGTGTTTTAATCAGATTGATCCCAGTGTTAGTTGCGAAATTTCAGGGATGCAGGGTAGAGGGCCTGGCAAGGAACAGCATCTAGTTGTTCAGATGGAATAAAAATGTCAGGTCTCATGTAATTCCATCATTTCATATTGTTGATATAACTTTGACTGACCTGTCTAATGTTTTCTCGACACAAACCAAGACATTTTATTTTATATTGTTGATATAAATTTGACTGACCTGCCGAGCAAACACAAGTACTATATACAATAAGACTGGGACTGTTGATATACTCTTTACATACACCACGCCCACTACATCTACCATGGTAACAGGTTGTCGTGGTAACAGACACACCAACTTCTGCTGTTGCATTTATACACGGTTCTATGTTAATACTGAAAGTAGAACACAAGATGAAAGATTTAATTTTGGTTTAATTTAATAATTTACTTGTATTATAGGGTCTTTATCAGTTGGAGGAAACCAGAGGACCGGAGAGCAAGGTGACCATACTCCTTGTCATGTACACCACGCACAGATGACAGATGTTAACCCTTTCACTTGGACAACCCGAAATTAGTGCTTCCCCTGGGCCTAAAACCATCAGAGTCACAGAACTAAAGAGATCTAGTATTGGGCAGTTTCGAAGCTACCAACATGAGTTTCAACCATTAAAATCCAGCTTCATAATGCTTTGGTGCAATACAGTCCCATTGGTGCTGATGTTCCATTAAACAACGTTTTGTATCCAACTTTATGAAAGCGATATTTTAAATGTTTGGATTGAAATTGTAACTTTTTGTTACAAAAACCTGACTATTTACACAAATACATGCTTCACACCAAATTTGATAAAAATCTGTTAATAATTGGGAGGTAACTCACAGAGAGTTGAAGTTCTATAGGATCGTCCTTTCATAAGTAAATTTGAAAAAAAATCCATTAAAACTATAGATTCTATGGCTTCACAAGGATTATCGATATGGTTCATCCTCTCATGAATGCAAAGATTCACACCAGATTTGAATGGAATCCATTAAAAACTGTTGACTGTTATCATGTTCACAATGTTTTTGGAAAAGGGGGTGTAACTCTGGAAATGAATGTTGCAGAGAGTTTATTGTTGATAGAGTTGCTCTTAGATAGATCATGTCACATATTCTTCACAGAGATGGAGGCCTAAAGAAACCAGTTAGTCCGAGGGCCCGGAGCTACCCAGTTTACTCATGGCTGTGATGGTTTCATCCTTGGTTCCTGGTCCACTGTATCCTTGTACTTGTTTAAATTAGGTTTTTTGGAATAATTACCAGGTATCATTTCCAGTATAACAGTTGATTAATAGAGACATGAACCATGTTCCAAGATGGCTACTTGATACACTGTAGGCTTGTACTCACCTGGTATCATTTCCTGTATAGCAGTCGACTGATAGAGACATGAACCATGTTCCAGGTTGTGGGTAGGGATAATATAAAATTCCTCCATAGTTAACGCTACTATTAGTACACAGACTGTTGTCTTGTTGTTGGATCTCCTCGTTATTTATCAACATAGGGATATAGTTCTGGGACATGTAACCGCAGACTCGGGTATGCTGGACTGATTTGTTCTGAAAAATAAAACATGAAATGAAATGATATTAAGACGGGCATCTTCCATGCTGTGTGCTATGAAATGAGGGCCTATTCTTATTATAAATATGGCTCTTTTATGAGCACACGGAACATTTTTCTTTCTTTTTCTTCCCATCCAAATGATAAGACACCGTTCCTTGTCTGGTGACGAAAAGACGAAACAATGCTGAAATAACCTAAAAACAACCAAACCTTCTAATTAGTGGGCCAGTGTCTTACTCAATGAGCCCATGTGGCTCTACCAAATGTAATTAAACAAAACAAAGTACCGACCAATGTGTTTAGTCTTAGCGGAAAACATTAATCCTTGAATTCAGTCAAGACATTCATCTAATGAACGTCTATACCAAGTATACATTCTGCCTCAATTAAAAGCAGGGGTTGGATGGCCGAATGGTTAGCAAACGCGTGTTGTATTACATTATAAGGTCTGTCATTGAAACAACTGGAGTGGTTTCGATTCCCTGGTTGTACGTGACAAGGAGTAGGGTCGCCTCTCCAACCTTGTGGATGTCATGTAGACGTTAAACCCCATTTCTCTCTCTCTCTCTCTCTCTATTAAAAAGCAGAGTTGTCATGTTCCAAAGGCTTGACCAATCAAATTGCTTATCGCTATTCAGCCTAACCAGAAATTGCACATCTTCACTTAATCAAAACCTACACCATGTTTGAACATTCTACCTCAATTTGGGAATGAAATGAAATGAAATGGAGTTTAACGTCCTACTGTTCTGCTCTGAACTGGGCTAATGAAGACGGGCATATGCCATACAGTGTGCTATGAGTAAAATTTTGCCCGGACAGCGGCACTACGGCCTGCTCTTATATCGAATTCTAACTGTCAGGAGATCTTTTACGTGCACGTCAATGTGTACACCGGACCATCCAAACGACTAGACAGCTGTCCTTGTCAGACCCTCCATCCTGCATCACTGACAAGGCGGAACCATGCCGGAAAATCTGGATGAATTTTCTCGGCACCTCAATGAGAAGGAAAGTTATTGTGTCGTAAACAGTGTTACAGACAGACCCATTTAGATTGTCTGCTGTTTCTTCGAAAGTCGGTGGACAAGAAAATAATATTTTAAGTAGCATACCAAGGGAAAAGAATTCAAGGCTAATTCTAAATTCAGAGTTCCTCCTATATCAAGATTCGGCTGAACATCGAACGGTAGAATATTGACAACATCTTTTGTAACATTCAATTTGATTGGATGAATTGTATCGTTGATGATATACGTGAATGCTACGTTAAAATCGTTATTAAACTGAAGTCTGTCTAATGTTTTATAGTAGATACAACTGGTTGTGTTAGTGACGTTTTCTTCGTGGCCAACACATTCTGAAATTATACAACAATGTAGTTATAAATTTTAGATTGTCTCCCCTGTGGTGAGTTAGTATTCATTTTGATTGACCCCTGGATTAGGAATGCTACTTTGACAGTATAATTCTGGACATGCCCTATGCGATTTTCCAATCCCAACCAGGAATATGCCGAATCGGACATTAAGATATGATGAATAATATTCAACTACTACTCATCGCAATGTGCCTGGATCTATTCACTTGATTTGATAGTAACTTTGTTTCCAATGCCAATGGAGGGGATTGCGTGGCTGAGTGATCTAATGTGTGTTCTTTAGAACATAAGGTTTGTCATTGAGACAAGTGAAGTGGTGTGATTCCTCGCTTGTAGGTCTTCACCAGGTCCTTTGGTTTCCTCCCACTATTAAAGACCCCTACAAACAAGTGAATTATTGAAATAAAATAGAATGAAGTTAGTTTGTACGGAAATGACCTAGTTTGTGTCAAGTGGGTGTTATCCCCCTCCCCCCCCCCTCAAGGCCGCCATCACTTATATTGTGTTTTAAAGGGGTTTAATGTCTTCACACTCATCTTTCTCTATTAACAAAGAATACAAAATTATAATCGTAGTTCTCAAAAGAGTGATAACTGTTCCAGGGGGGTAGAAAATGTTTTACTCAATTTAATCTATACACTGTCGAGATATTTTCAATTTCAATATGATGTGACTATAATAATCATAACAAAATGTCAGTAACAATCGAAATTGTTTCTCAATTATTTAACTTTGTATCTTAATTTAGTGAAATGGGTAAAATATATTCTCGACACAATGACTTGCAACAGACAAACTGTTCCGGTAATATGGTGCCTGAATCTGAGTCTTAAATAATCTGTCCGGGGTTGGGTGACTTAAGGTCTGTCAATGTCATAAAATTGTACCATATTAATCAGTCCAGAATGACCAGGTTTTTATCAAGTGGAAGTTAAACCCCATTTCGCTATCTCTCTGAATCTGTGACTGATGCCTTATTTCCAGGTTTCAGCTCTTATACCAAACAAAAGTAATTGTAATGATTACATCTAAAAGTAATTGTAATGCTAATGTAATTAATTACATTAGCCATGTAATGGCCCCCACCTTGGTGACATGTGCCTTACTTCTAGGCTTCAGTCTCGTATTTTAAACATCAAACACAAAATATTCTACCTTTGACTTCGATATCAAGAGTGGCATTTTAAGTTGAATTGTTGATTGTTTCTAACCCAAACCATTAACCGTGTATAGATGGACAGGCAACGTCCAACGAAGCCTTTAGAATCTGTGCCGCGGCAAAAAATAGACCGGACAATCGTGACTAAAATAAAAGTACCTCCCCTCGCGCAATTACCAGTATTAAGTTTAAAAGCAAAGAAACAGAAATCACTTCATAATATTTTTATTAATCTTGCTACTCTTTTTTTTGCAACCCATGATTGGGGTGTAAATGTATCAATACATCATTTTTGTTTACTTCGGATGCGCTCATGTGAATCCGAAAAAAACATGTTGAGTTTTCATTAAAAACAAACCTACTAAAACGCTCTTTTAATTTTTACTTCTGCGCAATTAATCATCATTCCGGACAGTATTATACCTGAACTTTATTTTCATAATTTCAAAATCCTTCATACATGCAAACATATTGAAATTTCTAAACTGGAGAAATTCGTCACAACCGGATAGGAATACTTATTGGGCTGAAAAATTACCATTTAACTATAAGAATACTGTAAATTCTAAGGAGGAGTTCGAGAAATTGATCTGTATAAAATCCTGCAATGTAAAAAATCACATCGCTTGATTTGCCGTTAACATTGAGATCTCATTGTATCTCGCGCGAGTGGCAGAGAATCCAACCAACAGGACTCAATGCCTGTCCATCTATATACGGTCCATGCCCAAACCGATGAGCCACATTAATATCGGGGGAGATAACTTAAAATATTTTACCTTTGACTTCGATATCAAGAGTAACATTTACAGTTGAACTGTTGATTGTCCGTAATCCAAATCGGTGAGCCAAATTAATATCAGGGGAGATAACTGTATATTGACATGGAGCATTATCTGTTGAACAATTGACTATATTTGGTAAAGAAGAGTTAAGTTGTTGATTAAGGTAGATAATCTGAACATCACAGTCAGGTTGACAATCATTTAACGACAACGTAAACTCATATGTGTCTGGTTCAACATCAAATCTGAAACAAGAACGTGTGAAATGAAATGAAATGGAGTTGTTTAACGTCCTATTGTTCTACACCGACTGGGCTAATGCAATCTGATTAGAATACAGATCTATATTTTGTTTCGTTTTTTTATACTTTCGATGGCCTACACTACATGAAGATCTGACAAGTTATAGCGATAGGTCACGTCAGGGGTCAAAAGACCGACTTATGACCCTATGATGTCAGACATTTGATTAGCCAATCAGCATTATTGGTATTAGTGGATTACCCACAGTTCCGTGCAAAACACGCCTAAAGATCGCCATAACAGACCGTTTCATTGGCTTATCCCTGACACCATTCAGAACACAAGTTAAATAACAACTCTTCCAGATCCAAGTGTAGTAAAGACAAGTAAAACGAAATTTTGAACTATAAAAACGAAACGAAACGAAATAGGGTCTGTGTTTTAACCAGATTGGGGCTAATGAAGACGGACATGTGCCATATATTGTGTTATGAGGGATAATTTGCCCAGACAGCAACACTACTGAGACTAATTAGAAATGAAATAAAATGGGGTTTAACATCCTACTGTTCTGCACTGACTGGGATAATGAAGATGGGCATACGCCATACAGTGTGCTATGAGGGTAATTTTGCCTGGGCAGCAGCACTACGGCCTACTCTTATATTATATTCCAACTGCCAAGGGATATTTTACGTCCTGCACCCATGATAAGGTGAAACCACGTCAGAAAATCACGATGAACTTTCTCAGCCGAGACTAATTAGAGAGAGAGAGAGAGAGAGAGAGAGATGGCGTTTAATGTTCACTCGACACAAACTAGGTCATTTTGGGACTAACATATGGTTCAATTTTATTTCAATAATGCTCTTGTGCATAGGGGTCTTTAGCAGTGGGAGGAAACCAGAGCACCTGGAGAAAACCCACGAAGTTGGACAGGCGACCCTACTCCTTGTCACATACAACCAGGGATCCTGATTAGAAACTTACCTGACATGTGTTAACAGATGAACACAGGTTGTTCTGACAGAGGTTGATTATAAACTTACTTGATATTTCTGACAGATGAACGCTTGTTGTTCTGACTGAGTGTTGTTCTGACTGAGCCTGATTAGAAACTTACCTGACATGTGTTACAGATAAACATTTGGTATTCTGAGCCTGATTAGAAATGTACTTGACATGTGTTACAGATAAACACTTGGTATTCTGAGCCTGATTAGAAATGTACTTGACATGTGTTACAGATAAACACTTGGTATTCTGAGCCTAATTAGAAATGTACTTGACATGTGTTACAGATAAACATTTGGTATTCTGGGCCTGATTAGAAATGTACTTGACATGTGTTACAGATAAACACTTGGTATTCTGAGCCTGATTAGAAATGTACTTGACATGTGTTACAGAAGAACACTTGTTACTCTGACTGAGGTTGATTAGAAACTTACTTGACATGTGTTACAGAAGAACACTTGTTACTCTGACTGAGGTTGATTAGAAACTTACCTGATATGTATCACAGGTTGTTCTGACTGAGGTTGATTAGAAACTTACTTGATATGTATCACAGGTTGTTCTGACTGAGGTTGATTAGAAACTTATATATGTACCACAGGTTGTTCTGACTGAGTCTGATTAGAAACTTACTTGATATGTGTTACAGGTTGTTCTGACTGAGGTTGATTAGAAACTTACCTGACATGTACCACAGGTTGTTCTGACTGAGTCTGATTAGAAACTTACATGATATGTGTTACAGGTTGTTCTGACTGAGTCTGATTAGAAATTTACTTGATATGTGTTACAGGTTGTTCTGACTGAGGTTGATTAGAAACTTACTTGATATGTGTTACAGGTTGTTCTGACTGAGGTTGATTAGAAACTTATATGATATGTGTTACAGGTTGTTCTGACTGAGTCTGATTAGAAACTTACCTGACATGTATCACAGGTTGTTCTGACTGAGGTTAATTAGAAACTTACTTGATATGTGATATAGAATCAGTGAGTGTAAGTTGAGTAGATTGTGAGGTAGGTACTGGTAGATATTGAACATCTTCAGGTGTATCATACGCTAGAGACAGGTAATATTTACAACTTCTTGATAAACCCTGAATAATAATAATATATACAGCTAATATTTACAACTTCTTATTAATAAAATGAAATTGGGTTAAACTTTCTACTGTTCTGCTCCGACTGTGCTAATGAAGATGGGCATATGCCATACCTTGTGCTATGAGGAAACATTTGCCTAGACAGCGGTGCTACGATCTATCAAATCCCAACTTTTACGAGCATGTTAAACAACTATACCTTGTCATTTGTCAGGCCCCCCAATTGACAAGGGGGAACCTTGGGGTTTAACGTCCTACTGTTCTTCTCCGTCTCGGCTAATGAAGACAGGCATATGCCATACAGTGTGCTATGACGGAAATTTTGCGCAGACAAGGGCGCTATGGCCTAATCTTATATCAAATTCCAACTACCAAGGGATCTTTTACATGCACGCCAATGTGTACATGGGACCTCGGTTTTTTGTCCCATATGAACGACTAGACAGCTGTCCTTGTCAAGCCCTCCATGTAGTTATTGATAAATAAATACATATATATTTGATAATAAAGAAGAATACTAACACTCTGAACAATTTTTCCCTCCTCTGAGGGTCTGTAAATAGCACTGTACCAAGAGCCGGGACGCGGTGATGATATGTTTAGAAATTGCGAAGTGTTATCAGGCTTCAGTGTCACACGAGTTTGATGACTTGTGTCCACGTCAAAATATTTAGGATATGTTTCATTATTTGGATTCAAGGAAGGAATGCTACCATACTGTAAAACTCTGGAGAGAAAAAAAATTCTTTCAAAGTTAAAAACCGAGTTTTAAAACTTAACATTCTTTAAAATGATCAACTCTTTAAAGATGCATTATGTAAGAGCTAAATCTGCTACAATAAGAAACAAAGTCTGAATTAAAGATGCATTATTCAAGAACTAAATCTGCCTATTTCAGATCTTGTTTCTGGCTTTAAATGTTATATAAATTATGATTTAGACATTTCATTTACATGACAAGCCTATAATCAACTCTCTATACCATCATATGGCTTGGATGTTAAATGGATTACACCATCTGCACAATTTAATGGGTTAAAGTTAACATGGAAAATCTGGACTTCTTTTTATTATTGTAGCAATGACAATTAAGACTACCCTCTACTTGTCAAAACTTCAAACATTCATAACTTCACTTAGATCAGAATAAAGTAATTTGACAATGAATTTTGCTTCTCATTACCTATTTTTGAAGCCAGTTTATCTAATCTTACATAATGCATCTTTAATGTGAAGATATTTATGGTGCTTGTTTATGTGACTGGAATATAATGGTGTTTTGATGCCTTGACAAGACAATACTTTGTTCATTTTAGACTGATTTTTATTTCTAAGGATAAATGTGTAATGTGGGATAGGAGAGAAAGAGAGAGAAATGGGGTTTAATGTCTACTGGACACAAACTAGGTCATTTCGGGATCAACACATGGTTCAATTTTATTTCAATAATTCGCTTGCAGTAGGGGTCTTTAGCAGTGGTAGGAAACTGGAAGGCCCAGAGAAAACCCACAAGGTTGGACAGGCTACCCTACGCCTTGTCACGTACAACTGGGGAATCGTAACCATGCCAGTTGACTCAATATAAGACCTTATGATACAGCGCGCATGTGCTAACCATTCGGTCATTCAACCCCAAGTGGGATAAGAGAATTTTGTACAGACAGTGGTGATGTTTCCACCTGCTCTTGTTTGATTACCAACTGTCATGAATTTTTTTACGTGCACACTAATGTGTACACAGACAGACCTCATTTTTTAGACTGAATGACTACGGACATATTCCTCGCCTCACCAGTTTCTCTGGTGCAACACCTGACAAGTGAGGGCTGGCTTCGAACAATCATGAGGGATCTTCTCAGACCATGCCGAGATTTGAAATGAAATTAATAAAATGGGGTTTAACGTCATACTTTTATTCACAAATTGGGCTGATGAGAAGATGGGCATATGCAATGTAGGAGGGACATTTTGCCTAGACAGCAATACTTCCGTCTACACTACTTGGAATTCGAATTGCCAAGGGTTCTTTTACATGCAAGTCAATGTTTTTTGCTCCATTTGATCAAGTAGATGCTGTGTTCATTGCCCTCCATCGTGCACCACTGACAAGAGTAAACCTGGGGAACCCCTGGTTAGTGAACCAGCTCCTTACTCGCTGAGCTACCATGGCTCCCCAGGGATTCAAATCCAAGACTTCCTATTCCTGCTTTAGAGTTCATACCTGGATTTAGTGATTTTAGGTTGATGTTTACACACATGCTTACTTTTGATGTCCTTGATGTATTTGCACACCACTACGATTTGTTGTCAGTTCTCCTTTTACTTACACATAAATGGGCACTTCTTCACAATTAGCTGGGTACCGCCTTGGTCGAAAATCCCATGTAACTTGCTTGGTTCCAGGTGAAATGTCATACCTGGTAAGTTTGACATCGCGATACATACCGTATGCTTTAATTTCCTCTTCTGCTATCCATCGCAAAGAAGAACAAAAATCTACAACAGAAACATTCTAAAATCAAAATGGTACATGAAATGAGAGAGAGAGAGGTTTAACGTCCTCTCGACAAAAACAAGGACTATCAGGTACAAGCAGCGAACCAAAACCACGCCACATGACTCAATGACAGACCATATGATGCGACACGTAAGCGCTCAATATTCGGTCACCCCCCCTCTCCCCTTACATGATATGAAATTGCGTTTAACATCTCCTACTGTTTTTCAACAACCAAATGAGGACGGAAAATGGTGGTCGGTACATGTGTCTGCAAATCTCACAAATAACTTTGAGATAAATTATCAATATTATGCTTAAGTTAGTTAAACATACATTATGCAAGGCCTGAAATGTTATATAAACTATTAATTAGACATTTATTAACATGACAAGACGATAATCATTATCGATGCCTTCTGATGCTTCAAATTTTCATAAGATTTGAATCGGATCTACCGTTCAACAGCCCTTGATGATTAAACGTAAAAATGGGTCATCAAGACCTTTTTTAGTTTCGTCACAATGGCAACAATGAAGTAATTTTCAGCATATTTTGTTTGCATTGTCAGCTCTTTATCTAATATTCCATAATGTAACTTAAGTTAGAAAATCAACTTAAAGATACATTATGGGAGATTCGATAACTATAATAGTTAAAAACTAGATAATGTAACGGCAATTTGCTGAAAATTTCATTCAAATTGATCCACTATGAACCGAGAACTAAGCGATTGAAATTTCCACCTAGCCTCGATTATCATTACTAAAGTCAGTACAATAAACAGCATAGTCTCGATTATCCATTTAATCGTTATATCGTCAGGGAAAGTTATGCAGTAAATCGGTTCATAATCCACTAAAGATCGCAGGCTAGCGATGCTATCTAGAGTTGATTATGGTCTGGATAGGTTAATTAATGTCTAATTAATAATTTAGATAACATTTCAGGCCTGAAGAAAGACCTGCAATAGACAGATTTAGCTCTTGCATAGTGTATGTTTAAATAAGCTTGCTTTGTAATGCTGCATACATACATATGTTGGACAAATAAACATAAATGAAATGAAATGGAGTTTAACGTTACTGTTATGCTCCGACTGGGCTAATAAAGACAAGTGGTTGCCATGCAAGATACACCCATATTTTGCAAAAGATGGACAGAGAACAAGCTAAAAAAAAGAAGCAATTTTTCGTACAATACAGGGCCATAAGCCAGGAGGTTACGATCCAATACTCGTGAATATTAAAAGGAACCAAGATCTTTGGGATATCAGGCCACGAAATTTCACGCGAACGATATCAATTGGTTATGTGCAGTCAAAAACATGCAACCGATTTCCTGGTTACGCAAATTGAAATATCGGTTACGTTAACAAATTTATTCACATTTGATAAATTTTTATACAGGATGACTTTGTGACACAGGTCTAAATTACTAGTATTATAGTTTTTAAATTAACAGTTGGCACAAACTCCATTCATTCTTGGCATTTCATTTCTCTATCTTACCAGTACTTTGACAAATCAAGTATTTTGACATTATGTATTGACCAGTTGCAAGCAGGTTTATTTAAAAATGCTCCCCATCCCTAAGTCTTTAAATGATTAGTTATGCCATAAATATTTGATAGTGTGCTTTTGGATTTTCAAATACAAAAAGAGTTTGACTATTTAACATGTCAGCTACATGTATATTTTCAAAGAATTTACTACACGTGTCCCTTTCACTATAGCCCCTTCTATTCCTGATAAGAACGACAAAACAGGGGTCCCATGGGTGAAATGACCAAAATGATGATTTAATTTGACTTTTGCATACAACGATCAGAGTATTTATTTCGAATTCCGACTGTAAACAGTTCTTTTAGGTCCACAGACAAAGGGTAACCAACCAGGCAGGAAAATCCAGATGAACCTTCTCGGCCAACAACACGAGCGAACACGAGAACTCCTGGTTAGCGAGCCGGCATCTTACCCACTAAGCTACCTGTTTTATTTTGAACACCATACATCCCCCTTTCTCCATAATTCACACACACTTAATTTACGCTGTCTGCCTATAAATATATATATTTTTGATTTACGCCTGCTTTTGTCAGTGATAAACAAAAACTCTTTAATCAATGATTATATGAAATCAGTGATTTAAATGTCTGATTTACAATCAAATTTTAAAACCTAATTTTAATCGTTGAAGAAGAGAAATTCTAGTCTTTGATTAGCTAATCTGACTTTTGAGAATGCCAAACTTAGTCAACTACTAATCTCTAATTAGCTAGTTACTGATTAGACCTAATCAAAGATTATTTTAGACACTGTTCGAAAATATCGACCTAGGTGTCAAATATTTCAATGTGAGTTTGCCATGTCATAGGATAGAGATCTTGCCAATGAACAGTGTCTAGTTATTCGGATGGAGCGAAAAAACGCGATCCTGTTTAGACGTTGGTGTACATGTCACAGAACAGACAATTGAATTCGGCAATAAGGCCTACTTCCCTCATAGCACACTTGTGACGTATGTCCATTTTTATTAGCCCAGTCCGCCCATCTTCTAATAGTAAGTGCAGGAGGACCGCACTACACTTAACACAAAAATCTACAAGATAAACCTGTGGACAAGACAGAAAATAGACATTGCACCAAATAAACAAATATCAAATCAAGTGAATGGATCCGGGGGCCAGCCGAGACATTCAGTCGTGCAGGACAGAGGGCTTGACAAGAACAGTGGCTAGTTGTTTGAATGGGACGAAAATACATTGTAGCCTACATGTTGGCATGCATATTAAAGAACCCGCTTGACAGTTGGAATTCGATGTAAGTAGGCCAAAGTGTCAATGTACATTCAAAATTTCCCTCATAACACACTGTATGGCATTCTCCAGTCGGTGAAGAACAGTAGGATATTGAACCCGATTTCATTTCATTTCTGTTTAGTCTTTCAAGTAGGTGAACTGTTAGATAAGAAACCTCATCTCTCAACCCTCCATGTTTCGAGATGAGAGATGGTCCTATATAGTTTTACCTGGCAAACCCTGACGTAGAAAACGTTGGGCTTCAATAAGCAAAATTGACAACATTTTTCATCAAAACAATGATTGATTATGGTTATTTATAACATTTCTGGCCACATTCAACTCAATCATTTGATTTAATTTATTGACAATATTTGCAGATAATCCAAAGTTCTAGTTGTAAAAAATTAACTTATTTTCAAGATGCTACGTGCATTAAAGTGGGGTCCCAGAAAAGTATTTATCGGGTGGTTATTTCCAATAAAAGTATGGTAATTTTGGTATATATGGAAAGTAGAGATATCCAATCTTACTAGAAAAATACTGGATTCCCTGAAAACACTCATGGAGCGTATACAGGACAAAAATGTAAGGGTTCCCCTAATCAACAGCCCGACGATTAGGAATTTCTGCACGTGTGATGTCAAAGGTCACACGCGAACATTGAGCGCTTGATGTACAAGTTGATAAACTTTATGAAGAATTAGACGTACAACACTTTCTGAGATAAAAATGACGGAAAAAGACGCGGGTAGTGGATAATCCGAGAATTTAATTAGGATTCAATATTTGTAATAAATAGTAAGCGATTAAAGACAACATCGTCTTATGTATGCAATGAATTCTCCTCTGACTTCCAAGACGTGACGTAAACATGACCTGGTTTGATCGAATTTTTATAGCAGGACATTCCTTCGCAATTACAATGTTTGAGACAGATTTGAAGCAAGGTTATGACAAATTAATTAGTTTGAATATGTTTTTTAGTCCATATATACCATTAAATCACACAGTTTGTACGCGTGAACCCATCTTTAATAATGAAATTAAACATACATTATGCAAGAGCTAAATCTGCCTATTGCAGGTCTTTCTTTAGGTCTGAAATGTTATATAAACTATTAATTAGACATTTATTAACACAACAAGACCATAAACAACTTTCGATGGCATCGGATACTCAAGATTTTAACTAGATTAGAACAGTTCGCCATTTAAAAATGCACACGTCTTGTCAATACTACAAACATTGATAATTTGGCTCAAAATGAAGTAATTTGAATGAAATTTTCAATATTTTCTCTTTTTTATCATCTATTTTTTAATTATTATAGCAAGAATAACCAACTCTTTATTAAATTCTTAACTTATGTATCTTTAAGTTTGCCAGGTGAAACTAAAGGCACCCAGGCCAGGCCAGTTGTAGATAAAAACAAGCACATCGGTATATCCGTAGCTAGTCTACTCGATCAGTGTATGTACACAGTGACAATAACATAAACATGGTGTTGTAAACGTGAGCTATTCCTCCTTTGTGCCAGAATGGAATAGCCTGTTTACAACATTATTAGTCTAAAGGGTCTTTTTGCACGTGCGGGGCGTGTTTCTTATATAAGGTCCTGCGGTTGGTCTATGCTTCCCACTTGCTTTGAGACTAGTTACGAGAGGTCACTGAGGATTCCATACTAAGGATTGTGCATCGTATATTCTATTGGATTGTAGTGAGTAGATCGCTTTAAATTTATATACAATGTATTCTATCATATAAATGTATATTTATCTATTGCTTGCTTATGGTGCATTTTAGCTGCCTAATATTATAGTAATAGTTGCTTAGTGTGGTGTGAGTTTGACTGTCTGTATATGTGTACACCCGTTGACCGATTTTGCTTACACTCTGGCCATCGTGATCGAGATAGGGTAGGGATTTATAGACAGATATAGGTAGCCTAATACTAATACTAAAATAGAGACCCAGTGATAGTTGCGTGTGACCTTACAACGGCTATCAAATTTATCTTCACTCCACAGTTTTGAGATTATTAATCTATGAAAGGTAGAACAATTTATACTAACCTCGAAAATACAACGAAAATAGAATAAAGGATATAAAATGTTTCTTCATTGCGTAAGTTTCACGGGTTGGCGGATGTCATCACGATTTATTATTTATGGGGGAACATTTCTTTGGTACTCAAACGGTGTCGTTTACCTAGAACGTGGACTTGGATTACACAAGACAAAAAAAATATCAAAAATCGTGATTCGGTGTCAGTCAAAACTTATTTTCTTTGCAAGTAATATTTTTTAATATATAGCTTTATAATTTATCAAGATGAACTTTTAGAGGAGGCATATCTAAGCTGAATCATAGAATTAGTTCTATGTCTGAATATAATTGGAAAATATTTGTCCACTTTTTGGACGAACCCTGAACGGTGCAGATCATATTTATCCCCATTAAATACAATATCGCTTCATGCTTGGAAAATATCGCTAGATGCATGTAGCTACATGTAAGCAACACCAATATATTTTTGTTCATAGATATTCTAAAATAATGTAATGTTTTCCTCTTTATTTAGGATGTACGGATGGTAATCCCAAGGCTGCATCTCCATGCTAAAGGAAATGGAAGGGAAGGGGGAGCATCTATAACTTTCAACGGTTGACAACAGGAGGAGCAACTCACCGGCCAAAGTTTGCACAACCCTTTAACAGGGATCCTTATTCCAATTCAAAGTCAATAAGTCCTCACTCTTTAAAACTCACCCATGTCAAAAATATTTGGAATCCTTAGATTATGGAATGCCCATTCCAGAAATACTTACTTCAGCAATTTTGACCAATAATTGGTTTCGGTAATGGGCATTTTTTAGGTAATGGCAGCCACACCCATTTTGGCCGAAATCCCCAAAACTGAGATGGCTGTATCTCAGGAACTGTCAGGTGGATCAAGCTAAAATTAGGAATATCAGTTTTTTCTGCCCAAATAAACCATATAAACCAAATTTATCGAAGGGGGTACGGTTTAGCTCATTGGGCGATTTGACATGGAATGACCCTGATGCACAACTAAATGTTCCTCTTAAGTTCTTGTATCCTAATTATTCAAGCAAGGTTAAATGGACAATAGGAAGTGTTTATTTTTAAATGTCCCTCATACTCATATGGTTCAATTTTATTTCAATAATTTGCCTGGGCGTAAAGGTCTTTACATGGTTGGAGAGCCGAACCTACTTGTCACGTTGGGAACCGTAACCACAGACAGACCTTATGATCTAAAGCGCACATGTTGAACTATCCGGATCCCCAACCGCTCATATGTAGAGATGTAAGACATCAAACCCCATTTCATTTCTGTTTCTTAATAGATATTTTCTTGCCCTTTTCAGAACGCAACATGAGGGCACTTTTTCGTGAGACTGTGGATGGTTTTATCTTCTGGAGTTTCTTCCAGGCTCTGGCACCCATGATATGGTTTTACCCATTAAACGACTTAGAAATTTCCGGGTATGAGGCGTTTGCAGGATTTTGGTTCCTTCCAGTCATCTGTGGCATTCCAGGAGTTTTACCTTTATTCCAAAATAAATGGATGACTTTGATTCTTAGATTGATATCTGTTGGATGTTTGTCGTCATTCCAAGCTCCGTCAACTCTATCGAGACTGATCATTTTAGCTGCAGGAGCTGGGGTATCCATGTTAGTTTTTACTGTACAGCTTTCTAACAAAAACAAACAAACTTGTTACTTTTATTACAGAAGTTTAATCCTCGGTCTTTTTGCTTTGTTATCCAGTCGTATTTGGTTCCTTACATTTATACCCACTTGGTGGTCGAACAACACAAATAGTATCGTCATTGCTTTAGGAGTCATCGTTTCTTTAGACCTGTTTATATCACACGGGGACGTCAAACCAACCAAGGGTGTGTCAGAAGATCCGTCGAAATGTCCAAATTGGCTTTTTTTATCTCTTGGAATGGGTAGTATGTTGTTTTGCACCCATTGGTGTTTTGGAGAAGTGTCCATCATAACGAGATGGGTCGTCAAGGGCTACCCTGATTCTGGACCTGCACCCGTTCCGTGGGGGGCACCTGTTCTTATTGCACTGTTAGTGGGTGTGTTTTTGTCGGATTATCCAGGAATCAGTGGTAGTTATCTATGGTGGCTTGTCGGAAGTGGAGCATTCGCTGGTCTGTATTATCTTCCTACTTGGCAAGGTTATGGTGCAGGTCTCATCCTTGGTGTTTATGTAATGACAATCTGGCCTCGCCTCATCCACGGCTTCTCAAAATGTCCACCTGCAAGATCAGCTTTTGTAACTATGGCAACTTACATTTGTCAGGTACTCTTTTCCGTTTGGACTGTTGCATACAACTTTGTTCCAGGAGGCGTGTATACACGAGAAGCGACAAGTTATTTGATTTTATCTGTTATGTTTTTTATTTTACTGGCGTTGATTGCCGACAGACACACAACGAAACTATTTAATGGAATTGAACTCCATTATAGAAAATCAAGCAAGTTGTGGCTGATAATTTTGGTTTTGATTGGATTGATTGGAATCGGATACAGGCATAAATTACTATCCGAAAAGTTATCAGCGCTAAAACCATCCACAAAACAGTTTAGTTCTGCAATATGGACATATCATTTCGGTTATGACAACAGAGGATGGCCTAGTTTGGAACGATCAGCAGATTTTCTTAATAAAACGGAAGCAGATGTTATAACTCTCTTAGAAAGCGATGCTTCAAAGACATTCTTGGGAAATAACGACCTTGGGACGTGGCTCGGAGAAAAACTGGGAATGTATGTTGATTTCGGAGTTTCAACTCGTGATCACACCTGGGGTAATCTTATTTTATCAAAGTATCCCATAATCAAATCCGTTCCTCACATGCTGCCATCACCTCATGGAGAACTGGCTCCCGCAATTACAGCAACCATAAATATATCAGGAACACCGGTCGACTTTGTCGTGACACACATGGGCAATGATCGGGACGTAATTGACAGAAAGCTGCAAGCTGAATATTTAGCTAAAGAGCTACTCAATAGCGATAATCCTGTAGTTTTCATGGGTTACGTGACATCAGAGCCATTCAGTCGGGATTACACACAATTGATCAGGAAAGGTAACGTGAAGGATATTGACAGCTCGGATCATGATAGATGGTGTGAGTATATTATGTATAGGGGTCTTGTGAGACTTGGTTACGCTCGAATAACTCACGGAGGATTGAGCGATACAGAGTTACAGATGGCCAAGTTTCAGATACCTGACAATAAGAACTATAAAGATAACAAAAGAACAGAGACCAGAACAAGAAAAATTGATCAGAAAATTTTATTTAATTCATATTTTGGTTCATTTTTTCCTTCTCATGGTTATTTTGAGAATCATGGCTTCCACATGAGCACACCAAAATATTTTTTGCCATAATATTGTCACAACAGAAAAGTTGATTATTTGTGTTGTGTGCTGCTACAAATTATTTATATTAGAGGACTAAATCTATTTGTTAAGGCCAGCTCAATTTTTGTCAAGGTCGCTGAGATGTAAATAAGGTTAGGGCACGTGATTGTTGGCGAGATTATAGGTTAGGGTTAGGGTAAGCATTGGGGCTAGGTCCAGGGTTAGGGTTGGGATTAGCACTAGCCCTGTTTACATCTCGTGACCTATGACGAAAAATTAAGCTGGCCTTATCATTTAGCACTAACCATATTAGAGAACGGTTACGTCTTTAGCATTTGGAGTACCCCAAACCAATCAAAACTATTGCTCCCTCTAGCTCCATGTCAATAACTGAGAACTATTTATGGACAGTATTCTTGTTCTGTGGCTCGAGGCAGGCTAGGGAGGGAGACTCAAACCACCCGAATAGTTGAGGACTATGGACAGTATACTTGTATACTTGTTCTGTGACTGGGGAGGGGGGAGGGCGTCGGATGGCCGAATGGTTAGTGTCCAACCTTGTGCGTTTTCTCCAGGTCCTCCGGTTTCCTCCCACTACTAAAGACTCCTACGCGAAAGCGAATTATTGAAATAAAATTGAACCATATGTTAGTTTGTGTAGAGTGAGTCCATCTCTCTCTCTCTCTCTCTCTCTCTCTCTCTCTCTGACTTGGGAAGTTTAAGGCTCAAACCACCTGAGCTGAGAACTATTTAAGAGCCAAATACTAGTTCTACGGCTACATCTCTTAAACATGCATTATGCAAGAGCAAAATCTGCCTATTACAAGTCTTTCTTTAGGCCTGAAATGTTATCTAAATGATCAATTAGACACTAATTAACTTATCCAGACCATAATAAACTCTCGATGCAAAGGCTAGCCTTCAATGTTGGCTGGATTAGATTCCTATATGCCGCTAACGGCTATTGATAATTAAATCAATAAAAGCAGATAATCGAGACTATGCTGTTTATATTAATGATTTTAGTAATGATGACCGAGATGATGCAAAAATTTCACCCGCTTCTTTCTTGGCTCATAGTGGATCAATTTGACTGAAATTTTCAGCAAATTACCTTTACACTATCTAGTTTTTAACTATTATAGCGAGAACTGCCATCTCTTTATCTTATCTCCCATAACGTATCTTTAATGCAAGAATAACCAAGAATTATCACTTTTCCATGTGTTCTGTTTTAATGCCAAAAATAATAATTTGTAGGTCATGTATATTTCTTGTACTTAAATGAGGTTTTATAAAAAGCTCTATTAAAATTTAAGCTTTAATTGAAAATGTATCAAATGTCAAATTAAGCAGATGTTAGTGATGTTATGAATGCAACATTTAACTTCATGTGGCATTCAGAAGAAGGCAATAATTACGGACAGGGTTATTGCTCTTGAATGGTTAGCGTGCGCGCGCTGTATCATAAAGTCTGTCATTGAGTCGACTGGCGTGGTTTCGTATCCCCGGTTGTACGTGGCAAGGAGTAGGGTCGCCTGTCCAACCTCGTGGGTTTTCTCAAGGTCCTCCGGTTTCCTCTCACTGCTAAAGACTCCTACGCGCAAGCAAATTATGTAAATAAAATTAAACCATATGTTAGTTCCGAAACCACCTAGTTTGTGTCGAGTGGAGTTAAACCTAATTTCTCTCTCTCTCTTTACAAAAGAATAAATCACGACTTTGTTACTTTAAATGTACTTATTGTTGTATCTTTTACCTTTTTAAATCAAATGAGAATAACCATGGGTTCAGTTTTAATGCCAAAAATAATATATTGCTTGTAGTTAAACTAGGTTTACCAAAAACTCTGTATAAAAGTTGTAATTTCATATTTTTAAGTTATATTTTTAAGATTTATTAAAATAAAGCCTCAAAATAGATGGTATCTATAAACAGTCCTACCTTGTTAAAGAATAATCCTATTAATCCTATAATTCACTATTGCCAGTTGCGAAATTGGCAAATATATCATTTTCATCTTCAAATTCCAACGTTTGAAGATAACTACTCCATGGTGGAGAATAGAAAACAAGGGAGGTAATTGGGAGGTAATTGTGTTATTATTTCCGGTGTAAATGAGTTTTAAGTGTGAGAATGACACCTATGATCGTATAATAGTGAGTTGACAACCTATTGAGCAAAAGACATAGAAATAATTATGTTTTGACTTTCTTAGAAAATATGAAATTGTAACTTTAAGCTTTAAGATTTTATAACACACTAATCTGATTTTGACAATTTGAGTCGAAAACACAATGTATTGATTACTTTGAGAAGTATTTCTTCAGCTTCCATTTTTATATATAATAAATTGAAAGTGGTTATTTAGTCTTTGTGAGTATGACACTGATTAGAACTGCATAATTTATCAATACACTGTTTTTGCAAATAGTTATTGATTCCGATTCCATTTTCATATGTAAAGCTGTCTAGTCGTTCGGATGGGACAAAAAACCGAGGTCCCGTGTACACATTGGCGTGCACGTAAAAGATCCCTTGGCAGTTGGAATTCGATATAAGAGTAGGCCGTAGTGCCGCTGTCCGGGCAAAATTACCCTCATAGCACACTGTATGGCATATGCCCGTCTTCATTAGCCCAGGTTAGGAGCAGAACAGTAGGACGTTAAACTCCATTTCATTTCATTTCATTTTCATATGTAATGAAATTGAAAGTTTTTATTTAGTCCCAATCTGATTATAATACAGATCTATATTTCATTTCGTTTTTTTATACTTTCGATGGCCTACACTACATGAAGATCTGACCAGTTGTAGTATGAGGTCGCATCAGGGGTCATACGAGCGGCTTTTGACCCTATGATGTCAGACATTGATTAATCAATCAGCGTTAACGTTTCTAGTGGATTACCCACTTTTCCATGCACAGCACGCCAAGAACCCGCCGTAACAGACCGTTAAATTGGCTAATCCCTCACATCAACCAGAAAGCCTGTTATATAACAACTCTTTCAGATCCTAGTGTAGTAAAGCCAAGTAAAACGAAATTTTGAACTAAAAATAAAACGAAACGAAATAGGATCTGTGTTTTAATCCGATTGATTTAGTCTTCATGTGTATGAAATGGACTAGAACCATAGGCGTACGGGGAAATTTTTGACTGGGGGGGGGGGGGCGGTGGTGGTTGGTGCCCAAAAAATGTAGTTAGGTTCTTAGTATGTTACATAATAGTAATAAATTCACTGTTAAATTGGAAACATTCAAGAACACAATATTTTTTTTTATACAAATTTTACAAAGTATAATTGTGTGCCCAAATTTTCCCAGCATTTGGTGCCCAAAATGGGGGGGCGGCTGCCCTCCCAGCCCCCCCAGCTCGTACGCCTATGACTAGAACTGTGTAATTTATAAGTACACTTTTTACCCTATTATGTTCAAAGTGGATAGTCATTTGTGAGTCACGGTGGCTAAGTGGGTAAGATGCGGGTTCGTTCCCAGTGTTGGCCAAGAAAGTTTATCGGGATTTTCCGGCATGGTTTCCCCTTGTCAGTTGTGCAAGACAGCTGTCTATTCATTCGGATAGGATGAAAAACCGAGATCCCTTGTACACATTGGCGTGCACACAAAGGATCTCTTGGCAGTTGGAATATAAGAGAGTAGGCCATAGCGACACTGACGGGCAAAATTTTCCTCATAGCACATTGTAAGGCATATGCATGGCCGTCTTCATTAGCCCAATCGGAGCAGAACATTAAGACGATAAACCCCATTTTATTTCATATCTGACCACACCCATGTTATAGAGACATGTATCATGTACTAAGGTTTCGCAATAACACTGTAGTTGGTGTCCACTGATACGTGAGAACACCTAGTATATAGGTTACAGTGAATTTATTAATTAAAACTATGTGTGGTAAGTGCTTCACCTGATCTCATGATGGACGAATGTAGTGCCTGGAAGGCCATCAACAGCAGCTATTAAAAAAAAAAAACCTTAGTGCATGACATGGTGATGGCTGATCCACGATTGACCACTGGTTACTAGTAAATGTACATGAATTTACTGATACTATTCGGCATTATTACAGAATGTATTCATATTTTTATATCAGAGGCGGATCCAGGAATTTTTGCAGGAGAGGATCGGCCAGGCTCCTGTTAGGACATTTGACAGTTGTCAATGCATGATGCCATCATCGTCTCTAAATTACCTATAGGCATACATATGCATTGGGTTTTTTAAAGAGAGAAATCCAACACATCATTTGATGTCAATTTTTATAATGAATTAATAGGATCATATTGTGATTCAATTTCAATTAAACAAAGCATTAATTGTGATATCACATATGTCTATATCATTATCTCGCGCTTTGAATGCCAATCCCATACCCCCATCTGATGATTAAGCACACAGCAGTGACACTTTCCTCATAGTGTTGTTTTACAAATTGTTTTATGTAGCTGAGCAGGGTGGGGTTTGAACCCCCCAACTCCTCCTCCCCCCTCCCCCAGATCCGCCCCTGTATATATTTTTTGTTTTTGTTAACATTATTATATTCACAATATCTGAAGGTGATTGCATGATTAACAGGTCAGCTCCCTATCAAGCTTTTATAATCTTTGAGTAGCATTTATTGTTATGTTTTACAAGCCATTATATATATACTGAGCGCCATGGAAAACGCATCACTTAGTTTTTCGTATAACAAAATGATCCTGTAAATATATCTTATTTATTTTGCTTCTTATTGTGAACAATATTCAAATGGGAACACATCAATAACAACACATTTGTACACTTATGGATGTTTAATCTGTAATCAACGGTACAAAGTCAGAGGGGTCAGCGACGTCACATGGAATTTACCAATGTTTGAAAGAAGACCTGGGGCAAATTGTTCCATTCTTGGACAAGAGCAGCTTCTAAAGCAGCAATGGTGTGCATCTGTGGGCTCCGATACAGACGGCGTCCAATCTCATCCCAGACATGTTCTATCGGTGCCATGTCCGGAGACATGGCTGGCCAGTTCAAAACATTGATGTTGTTAGCAGCCAGGTTGTCCATACTAAAACGGGCGGTATGCGGACGTGCATTATCCTGTTGGAAGTGCTGAAGTTGTGGGTGCGCTCGAAACATCGGAACAACAATTGGTTGCAAGACATCATCACGGTAGGCTACAGCATTAACGCGACCCCTGCAAATGTGTAGCGCGGTCCGGTGATGAAATGTGCATCTGTGGGCTCCGATACAGACGGCGTCCAATCTCATCCCAGACATGTTCTATCGGTGCCATGTCCGGAGACATGGCTGGCCAGTTCAAAACATTGATGTTGTTAGCAGCCAGGTTGTCCATACTAAAACGGGCGGTATGCGGACGTGCATTATCCTGTTGGAAGTGCTGAAGTTGTGGGTGCGCTCGAAACATCGGAACAACAATTGGTTGCAAGACATCATCACGGTAGGCTACAGCATTAACGCGACCCCTGCAAATGTGTAGCGAGGTCCGGTGATGAAATGTGAAGCCTCCCCACACCATTACACTTCCCCCACCCCATCGATTCGTTTCGAAGACGCATCAGTCTGCAAGACATTCCCCAAGATGTCTCCACACGTTGACGGCCGTCAGCATGATAAAGATGAAAGCGACTCTCATCACTGAAGAGCACACTTTGCCAGTCTACTCTTCTCCATGTCTGGTGTCCTTGAGCCCATATCAAACGCCACTGACGGTGATGATCCCTGCGGATAGCTCCAACATAAGGTCGTCGTGCACGGAGTCCTACTTCCCTTAGACGACATCTTATGGTGTTGGCACTTACTGGTCCTTGTCTTCCGACGACTGCTGCACCTGTTCGAGTCGCTGGGCGGAATCTGTCACGCAGATGAGTGACCCGGATGTAGCGGTGTTGAGCCTGGCTTGTAACGTTGACGGTCACGTGTTGATCCAGTAACTCGAACACGTTCCACCAACCTTACAATAGTGGACTGATGACAATTGAAGTGTCTGGCAATAGCACGTGTAGACATGCCAGCCCTGGACATTCCCATGGCTTCATTCCGTTGATTTTCAGTAAGTCTCGGCATCTCTAGCTCGATTCCTTCACCCGTCTAACAACAAATTACGACAGATTGACGTTTCACAGTTCATGTACTGCACATTAAGTTGAAAACATGCTTTTAATGGGCAATTTTTTTTTGTGCACACGGGCCGATATTTTTTGCGTTTGGGAGCTTTGTGTGAAACAATAGTTCATAGTATTGCATAATATTATACATACAAAACCACCTAGTAATAAAATATTTGGGGAAAAAAAGTGATGCGTTTCCATGGAGCTCAGTATATTTATATGTATTTTTTGGGTTATTTCTTAATTGATTTTGCAATACTAATTGTGATTTATTATCCCCCGCATTTTGAATAAAGCAAAAAAAATATTAAAATGAGTTCGTTTATCCGACTGTCTCATTTTATTGGGACACAATAACATTGCTTCTGATTGAGGGAGCCGGTGATGAAACTTGGTGTATTGTTTTTTTATATCCATACCGTGACTAAGTTCAGTAATGAACATTTCCTGTTCCAGTGATAAACAATTTGATTTCTCTGTGGCTCAGTGGGTTTGAGTCAACTGGCGGGGTTTCGATTCCCCGGTTGTACGTGACAAGGAGTAGCGTCGCTTGTCCAACCTCGTGGGTTTTCTCTGGGTCTTCTGGTTTCCTCCCATTGCTAAAGACCCCTACGCGCAAGCGAATTATTCAAATAACATTAAACCATATCTTAGTCCCGAAATGACATAGTTTGTGTCGAGTCGACGTTAAACCCCATATCTCTCTCTCTCGGCTCAGTGGGTAAGACGCTGGCCAAAAAAGGTCATCAGGTATTTCCGGCGTGGTTCCTCCTTGGCAGTGGTGCAGGACCGTGGACCTGGGAAGAGACAAGATATAGTCGTTTGAATGGGATGAAAAACTGAGGTCCTGTGTACACATATGTGTGCACGTTAAAGATCCCTCTGCCCGTCTTCATTAGCCCAGTCGGATGTTAATTTTGGGATTGAGGTTGGGGACAGAAGCCCCACTGTTGGCTTGTTCAATTTTCGTCTTGACCATAATTATTCCGAGACTGTCCAAGTTTAAGCAGAGTGATAATCTTTGATTGCTAGTTGCTTTATAAAACGATAAATGTGCAAGTGTCATCTTTTTATAATGGTAGTGATGCGGGGGACAGTAGCTGCGTTGTGGGCTGGAATACCTGTAAAGTAACCGCTTACAATTTTTACAGAATATTAAAGAATCTGATTAAAATGCAGATCTATTTTTCGTTTCGTTTTTTTATACTTTTGTAACATAATCAGATCATCTAATAACTGTGGATTGGACTTCTTTAATTCAGCAAGACGGTAACAAACATTAAACTACACTACATGTATAACAACCAATACATATTATAATATTGTAATCTTTACGGCCATCGTCTTAATTCACGTCTGCCTCCATGGTTCTGTGTTGAGCTATTCAACTCAACTAACTGAAGTGACTTCATCAGAAACCTAAACCAATTTATAGGTGGTATGAAGTTACATATTATTGATATTGAATAAAAAGAATTATGATGACAGCTGAATACTAATAAATAAATAAATTAAAGGTCGGCGGGTTCTCCGACATGACCATTTCAATATGGCAGTAGCTTATCTTAACAATAATCATATCGATGTTAGAAACAGCGGTTAGGTCAAAAGGACAGCAGAGACTTCACCTTTTGTTACATTTTCAATGGAAATGAAATGAATTGAAATGGGGTTTAACGTCCTACTTTTCTGCTCCAAACTGGGCTAATGAAGACGGGCATACGCCATACAGTGTGCTATGAGGGAAATTTTGCCCGGACAGCGGTTCTATGGCCTACTCTTATATCGGATTCCAACTGCCAAGGGATCTTTTACGTCACATTACGTGCACGCCAATGTGTACACGGGACCTCGGTTTTTCTTCCCATCCGAGCGACTAGACAGCCTGCATCACTGACAAGGGGGAACCACGCCGGAAAATCTGGATGAACTTTCTCGGCCAATTCAGGAATCGAACACCGACCTCCAGGCTAGCGAGCCAGCGTCTTACCCACTTGGCCCCTGTGATCCCCTACTTTCGATGGCCTACACTACATGAAGATCTGTCAAGTTGTACTCGAAGGTCGTGTCAGGGGTCGTACGAGCAGCTTTTGACCCTATGACGTCAGACATTGATTAATCAGTGTTGACGTTTTTTAGTGGTTTTATACCCACAGTTCCGTGCATGGCACGCCAAAAAGTCACCGAAACAGACTGTTTCATTGGCTTATCCTTCACTTCAACCAAAACGCCGGTAGAATAACAACTCTTCCAGATCCTAGTGTAGTATAGACAAGTAAAACGAAATTTCGAACTATAAAAAAATGAAACGAAATTGTGTTTCAATCAGACTGTAATAAGTCTCACTTTTTCCCAGTCCCTCACCATCAAGTTTATCAATATACACATCAAGCGCTCCCTAACGCTCAGAGATCAGACAATTTTCTTGTGCAACCTTTAACGCCCCTAGTCGTCGGTTTTCCGGTTAAAGAAACCCTTACATTTTTGTCCTGTATGTGCTCCATGGGTGATTTTCAAGGAATCCAGTATTTTTCTAGTAAGATTGGATGCACCAAAATTGCCATACTTTAATTTTATTGGAAATAGCTATAATTTTATTGGAAATAGCTACCCTATAAATACCTTTGAGGAAAAGTATCTTTAAATCTAACATAAAATGGATAATCGAGACTCTGTTTATTATTGTAGCAATGGTATTCAACTTCGCCCAGAATAAAGTAATTTGAATGAAATTTTCAATAAATCCACCCCCCTGCTCAGCTACATAAAATCTTTTGTAAATCAACACTTTTTATGAGAAAGGTTTCTCGGCCGTGTGCTTTATCCTTTATCGTCAGATGTGGGACAGGATGGGCACTCAAAGCACGAGGTAATGATATAGACATTATGTGATATCACAATTAATGTTTTGCATCCATGAAATTGAATCACAATGTCATTGTATTAATTCATAATAAAAATTGACGTCAAACAAGGTGTTGAATTTCTCTGTTTAAAAAGCTCAATGTGTATGTATATACGCCAAAATGACGATAGGGACCATGCGGGAGGGGGGGGGGAAGATACATTGTGTCAGTAGCCTGACAAACCCCCAACTGGAAAAATTCCTGGATCTGCCCCTGAAAATAAGATAATTTTATACTAGTATGACTAATTAAACTTACAATGTAGCACAGTGGCACAACTATCGCCTATAAACTCCAAATATTTACGTTTAAATTAATGAAGCTTTGTTTTTATCCGACATACATCTCCTGCTTAAAAATGACGTTCCTAATAACGGCTTACCGCTTCGATTTTAAATACGATGATTTATACGTGTTTCATGTAGGATTATATGCTTAGTTGTAGTTAGATGTGGCAGAAATGTTATAAATAACAATAATCAATCGTTGTTTTGATGAAAAATATTGTCAGTTTTGATTACTGTGGCACGATGTGATTTGCGTTGGGCTTTGCTACGTGGAACCATAGAACTGTACTAAAACTATGGTGGAATTATATATATAATACCATCTCTTATCTCGAAACACGGAGGTTTGAAAGATGAGGTTTGTTATCTAATACATAGGCTATATCAATCTAGTGGCATTTCCTTTCCAAGAATATGATGTCTGTTTTAGTAGAATACGTGACACCGTATTCTACGTTACACGTATTCTACTAAAACAGACATCATAGCTCCGCCACTGTCGCTGACACCAACCCGACTACAGTGTGCCAAAATATGATCTGAAAACAAGAATGACTCAAACTGTTTTAATGTAACATGTTGCCGTGGAGTTTGATTTATTTTTAAATCGGGACTGCGCTGTACAGTCCCCCGGGCCTAATAGAGGCTTCACTAAAAATGTAAATTACAAGTAAGATGTAACAGAAATAATACGACCAGTCTTTACAGTGGGTGGCGACAATCTGCCAAATGACGCCATGAGCAGCAAGACATCAGTATAGTGGAACCATTTCTAATTCTAGGCAGGAAGACATCAGTAGTGGAACCATGTCTAATTCTAGGCCGTAACTAGCTCAGAGCAACGAGGGGGGCGGGAAGTGTTCTCAGGGGGTGCTGTAAAATTGACGGACAATGTATATCTATTGTTTTTATGGTCGACAATTTTTTCACGGGTGGAGGCGAAACTTTTTGCAGAGGGGGGGGGGGGGCTTGCAGAGGGAGAACGTCAAAAAGAAATTAACAATAAAGGGCGATAATCGTGATAGAATCTCGGAAAATATTAAAAATAATTAATTAAGAGTAGTGAGCAAACGGGTGCAAAACCCAACATTCTGCAATATGTAGTGCTGAAACTTTAAGCATCTTGTATCGGCCTAGTATGATTGTAGACTGTCATTTCCTTTCCAAGTAAACAAACCGGTAAGTGTCACGTGGTCTGGTGTGACGTGGTCTACAGTCTTCATAATATAAACACTCGTACAATTAACTACACTATTATAGTTAGTTCTATCGTAGAGACATAACGAAATGGCGCAGAAAGTTTCCAGTAACATTTGTAGCATTTGTTTTGATGATTTCGAGAATCCGAGAATAATAGACTGTCATCACAGTTTTTGTGAAGACTGTCTGGATGGCTACATCAACAGCTTTACCATCAATGGCCGTTTTTTCCTTTGTCCGATATGTGGCAAGGAGATCAAAGCGCGTAAAGGGGCGAAGAAATTCCCGAGGAACTTTTATCTTGATGACAAATCGAAGACGGATTTTAATTCTACCCCATGTGGAATGTGCAAGACATCGAATACGTCAAAGTTCAAATGTAAAGACTGTGATAGATATCTCTGCACATCCTGCAAATCAATGCACGATACCCTCCCACCGTGTAGTGGTCATCATGTGGTCACTCTAGACACCACAATTCTCGGCGATACCAAGGGCAAAACGACGAAGAAGAACTGCCCGAAGCATTCCGACAGTTGTATGGAATTTTACTGTCGAGATTGCACGGAAACTATTTGTATGAAATGTCTGATGACAAACCACAGGCATCATATGACATCGGACATTGCGGACGTTTGTTCAGAGGCAGTCCAGGAGCTGAAAGAAATTGAAGAGATATTTCAAGAAAAGCTTACCCAAAGTGAAGAGAATTCGGCGTCACTTAGAGATACGATTTCAGAGATCCAATCATCGTATGAACTGTCTTGTGAGCATATTTATCAGCAAGTTCAGAAAGTCCGCAAGTCTGTCACCGACGCTGGAGATTGTCTTAAAAACTCTTTAAAAATGACTTTTGGTGAAGAGGAGGAAAAGATAAAGAAATTTCTGAAGGGTAAGGAAGATGTTGCCCAGCAGCTGAGAACTAATGTCCAAAGTGTTGCCGAGATGATACAAAATGAACAAATGATGGAGGCCGTGAAAAGTCTCCCGTCATTCAGAGCACAGTTAGAAGAAATCAACTCTGTGGATCTCGAAATACCCCAATTAAGCTGCTTTGCGTCATTTCAAGAAAATAAAATCAACACTGGTGTCATAATGTCACTACTTGGAACCATCAAAGAAATAAACCGAGTGGATGCGTTTAATCATACCTTCTCTTTGAATCAGCTCAAGAGAGACGGGCGCGAGGAAACTGAATGTAGAGAAATAAAAAGGGAGGACTTGATTTGGTACTTGACAATAAAGAAAGGAACAACGGGGATGATGTTCATTGGTATTGGTTTAAAAAATACAAACATCAAATCTCTCTCGGGTAAATTCACCCTGAAGTTGGCAGTCAGCAAAAGTGATAAGAAGTCCGCTAAATTTATGGGAAATATCAACTTGAAGGATGGCTCTATGATATTGACAACGGAAACTAATCTCACATGGGCGGAGCTGTGTGACCCTAATCGGGGCTTTATTGACGTCCGCAGAAAGCGGTTCTTAGTGAAGGCTTCAGTTTCCGTTACTGATATGACAAAAACTATATAAAAATTGATCTGTACAAAATATGGCTTGATAAATTGTGTTATTGAATCCAGACACCCAAGCACGTTAGTCGCTGGCATATCAATTTGATAAAAAACGATCTCGATCGAAAGGTACATCACCCGTTCGATTAGACTATATAGTGACATCATGACTATATCACAGTAGGTTGGATGCAAACTGCCAATCTATATTTATAACGATTTAATTTGCAGTTGACGATTTTACAAGGAGTTCTGTGCAAATTAATAAATTTATCTTACGATTTTACTAAACCAATATATAAATTTATCTACGATAAGAATTTCAGTGTTCGGCGCTCCAATAATACGCCACCGGACACGGGACCTCGTTTTTTACGTCCCATCCGAATAATTATAACCGTCGCTCAGTAATAAGCAGTAATTGTATTTCATAGAATTGTGACCTGTATATTCCAGTTCAATTACTAAATGCCATTGAAACAATTTATTCGCTACCCATTGGTTTATGTTGGGCCATATATATATTTAAAATACAGATGTGACGTCATCCTTTGATGTTAGCGTACCATTATTTCACATAATGGCACGGGCAATGTGCCAAGCGTACATTATTTATACTAGTTGAAATATGGGACCCGCGTGACGTATTTCATTGAAATGCACGTGCTGGATAGTGTCTGGTCTCGTGCAAGACATTGCGTAATATATAGATATTGCCCTCGTGCTATCGCACTCGTACAATATCAATATATTACTTAATGTTGAAATATGGGACCCGCGTGACGTATTTCATTGAAATGCACTTGCTGGATAGTGTCTGGTCTCGTGCAAGACATTGCGTAATATATAGATATTGCCCTCGTGCTATCGCACTCGTACAATATCAATATATTACTTAATGTCTCGCACTCGACCATTAAAATATCCTCATGATGTCGCTGACTTGCATTGGTTGCTCAATTCTAAAAACTGGAAGTGCGGATATCCTGAAGGACATTCTCCTAAGTCAATCTACAATCTACAGGATCCGTTTTGTAACTGATCGCGTGGACTTGATGACGTTTAATTCCTGATAATAATCACGGATGTACGTACAGTCAAGAGAAATCTAATTAAATTTTTATACGTCATTTGGATTTTTCGGAAAAATGTAAAATATTTCACGGTAACAGTCATGTTAAAGAATTTCGAATACTACGAGTGTGACGTCACACAAAATACACTTTTGACCTTTCTTAGAAACAGGGGCGGATCCAAGTGGGGTGGGGGTGAGGGTCCAAACCCCCTCTTGCTCGGCTACATACAAAATTATGTAAATCAACACTTTTATGAGAAAAGTGTCACGGTCGTGTGTTTTATCAGATATCGTCAGATGGTGGGATTTGATTTGCATTCAAAGCGCGAGATAATGATATAGGCATGTGTGATATCACAATTAATGCTTTGCATCAATGAAATAGAATCGCAATGTCATCGTATTAATTCATAATTTTATATACTAACATTGCTTGACCTGTTGGACAACATAAATATACAATTAACATACTACTAATCTGTCAATATATATAATATGTTATAAAATCTCAAAAGGCGCAATAAAAATATGTCCGCTCGAGGTTCATTCTACTTGTCGGGGATGATAGATTTTTCCACATATCGGTAAGAAATGAAATGGGGTTTAACGTCCTACTGTTCTGCTCCGAACTGGGCTAATGAAGACCGGCATACGCCATACAGTGTGCTATGGGGGAAATTTTGCCCGGACAGCGGCACTACGCCCTACTCTTATATCGAATTCCAACTGTCAAGGGTTCTTTTACGTGCACGCCAATGTGTACACGGGACCTCAATTTTTCGTCCCATCCGAACGACGAGAAAGCTGTCCTTGTCAGGCTCTGCGTCCTGCATCACTGATAAGGGGGAACCACGCCGGAATATCCGGATGAACTTTCTTGGCCAATGCAGGGATCGAACACCCGACCTCCAGGCTAGCGAGCCAGCGTCTTGCCCACAGTGATCCCCCATATCGGTAAGAAATCAAAACTGCGTTATACGTACAATATTGTGCAAACACGAGACGGAAATAAAAATAACACGAACTGTTTATTATGGAAGGATAACGTTGCCAATATTATTTCATTGTTCACGGTGCAAACTGCAAATGTCTGTAGTTCAAAATACGTATTTTAGTTTTATTATTTGCAATTTCCATCGCTCAACAATACCAATGTCACGGTGTTAAAATACAGAATACACTTTTCAATAATACAAAATACAGTATAATAGTTATTTTGCACATTACACTTCTGCATTCTGCATTTTGCATTATAGACCAATGCAAAATAGAACTTAGCATAGTAGAACATATACCTTATATGGGATCTACGACGAACCTCATTTGCATACGGAAAAAAGTCCGGACTATGACGGAAATTAATGAAGTTAGCACACATATTCCTATCGCCAATAAAAACCTAGATATAATTATCACGAAAATAATTGTTACCTTTATATTAGAAAATAACATTTTACGACATATTAATGCAAAGTATATATGTAAAAGACCCACCCCCCACCAAGAAAAAAAATATATACTATTACCGTAAACATACTAAAATATCGCACACTAGGCTAACTGAGCACGCAGAAAAAGTGGTACGTCCACGCTGCATCAAAATGCACCCAAACCAGATTTTGTGGCAAAATGTTTTTTGTTTCACGGAATCAAGAGATGAATAAACTACTAGAATACAAAAATCCAAAAGCTGCCTATGCTGGATTTTCAAGATTTATTACCGTAAACGTACTAAATATGTGGGAGAATCGGGTTCGGGTAGGCTCACTGCGCACGCAATAACTTCTACACTAGCTTTGGTGGGTCCAAGATCTTTATTTAACCAAATCGACAGATGCATATAAAGGTATGAACATGCCAAATTTCATTAACTTTCTATGTTGGCATATCGAGTTATACCACCGAAAAGTTCCTAGCACCGGATTCGATTTGGTGAAATAAAGATCTTGGAGCCAACAAAGCTAGTTTAGAAGTTATTGCGTGCGCAGTGAGCCTACTCTAACCCGATTCCCCCAAATGTTTACGGTAATATATCTCAAAAAGCCAGCATAGGAGGCTCCTGGATTTTTGTATCCTAGTAATTTATTCATCCCTTGACTCTGTGAAATACAAAACATTTTGGCACCGAATCTGATTTGGGTGCTTTTTGATGCAGCGTGGGCGTACCCCTTATTTATTGTACCTACGAACCCCGCCTCGAATCCGGGTGCTAGGAAACTTTCAGTGGTATAACTCGATACGCCAACATAGAAACTTAATGAAATTTGGCATGTTCATATCTTATTCATCTGTCGATTTGGTGAAATAAAGATCTTGGAGCCACCAAAGCTATTTTAGAAGTTATTGCGTGCGAGATGAGCCTACCCTAACCCGATTCCCCCATGGTTTAAGTATGTTTACGGTGATATTTTTCGAAAAGCCAGAATAGGAAGCTTCTGAAATTTTGTATTCTAGTAGTTTATTCATCCCTTGTCCATGAAACAAAAAACATTTTGCTACCAAAGCTGGTTTGGGTGCTTTGTGATGCAGCTTGGGCGTACCCTTTGTTTATTGAACCCAGGATCCGGGTACTAACAACTTTGCCATGATATAACTCGATAAGCCATCATAGAAAGTTACTGAAATGTGGCATGTTCATACCTTATGCATCTGTCGAGTTGGTGAAATAAAGACCTTGGAGCCACTAAAGCTAGTTTAGAAGTTATTTTGTGCGCAGTGAGCCTACCCTAAACCGAATTTCCAATATTTTAGTATGTTTACGGTAATGTATCTTAAAAAACCAACATAGGAGATTTTTCGAATTTTGCAGTCTAGTAGTTCATTAATCCCTTGATTCTGTGAAATAAAAAAAAAAACAATTTGCCACCAAAGCTGGTTTCAGTGCGTTTTGATGCAGCGTGGACGTACCCCTTTTCTGCGTGCTCAGTTAGCCTAGTGTGCGATATATCAGTATGTTTATGGTAATTGTATTTTTTTTTCTTGGAGGTGGGGGCGGGGGTCTATTACATACTTTACATTAATATGTCTTAAAATGTTGTTTTCTAATATAATTATCTAGGTTTTTATTGGCACTGGGAATATGTGTGCTAACTTCAATAATTTCCGTCATAGTCCGGACTTTTTTCCGTATGCAAATGAGGTTCGTCGTAGATCCCATATAAGGTATATGTTCTACTATGCAAGGTTCTATTATGCATTTGTCTATTATGCAAAATGCAAAATAACTATTATACTGTATTTTGTATTATTGAAAAGTGTATTCTGTATTTTAACACCGTGACATTGGTATTGTTGAACAATGGAAATTGCAAATTATAAAACTAAAATACGTATTTTGAACTACTGACATTTGCAGTTTGCACCGTGAACAATGAAATAATATTGGCAACGTTATCCTTCCATAGTTTATATGTAACATGCAATAAATTTCACATTTTTAGTCCACTTTGCCATGGGTTTTTACTCTGAAAAATCGCAAGAAAAGACCCCAAAGATTTTGTCAATTAACTTACTACTGATTTGTCATTTTGTTATATAACTCGTTATGAAATCTGAAAGAGCACAATCAACATATAAACGTACGTAAAAGGTATAATATTTGTATTTATCACCACCCAATAATACATTCTATATATCGCTTGTGTGATATATTTCATAATCTACTGCGATATCAGTTGAAAAGGAACTAGGGTTTTTTTTATTTTCAAAGAACAGTTCATTTCTTATTAAAAGTAACTTTTTTTTTTTTTATTAAAAATGAACTATTGTTATTCAATTGACCTTGATGGAAACAGTGGGTCAATATAAAGGACTTTGCAATGGTTGAATTGCTATTAGAAAATGATGTATCACTACGCCGTAATGTTCAGTAAAAGTGAAATCTACAGCACAGAATTATATTTATCTATATGTGCATGTAAGAAGGGATTGGGTGATAAATAAAATCTCCTACTCGTCTTTTTTGATATCAAAAAATATCAACACTCGTTGATAAAATAAAAAAAAACTCGACAAAGCCTCGTTTTTTGTTACTTTATTAACTTGTGTTGATATTTTTTGATATTTCTGAACTTGGATGGCCGAATGATTAGCACGTGCGCGCTGTATCTTAAGGTCTGCCATTGAGTCAACTGGCGTGGTTTCGATTCCCCGGTTCTGTCCAACCTCGTGGGTTTTCTCCTGGTATTACGGTTTCCTCCCACTGCTAAAGACCCCTATACGCACAAGCGAATTATTGAAATAAAATTGAACCATATGTTAGTCCCGAAATGACCTAGTCCGTGTCGAGTGGACGTTAAACACACACACACACACACAAGCACTACCACCCCCCTCCCCCACCACCACACACACACACACATTCCTGCATTGTGTGGATTATCTTAGAATGTAGAAATAGCTTAGGTATCAACATCCCTTCAATGTACTAATT